CAGCCGAACTAGCAATCCTCAACAACTTTTTAATTTTTACTCCAGGAGCTAAAGGTCTGTTTCAGGAAATCACATCCCCAGCAATCGGCGGTTGTAGAATTAAGCTGTAAAAGTGTTCATACACCACTAGTTGGCAGTGTTGTACATACAGTATATTGTATATGAATTATCGCCAGCTAGTAAGTGTCAAATTGAACTTGCACTTTAAAATTAGCTTCTGCTAGTTTTTCTATGGCATAAACGTTCTGCGGACMTAAATATTTTCTTAAGCGCTTTAGAAATTGCGGAGCTAATTTTTGGATTAGCGCTGCCCACCACTGCGTATAAGTTCATACAGCAAAGTTTTTTTTAATTGTTGGACAAACTTTATATAAGTACCGTATAAGACGTTGTAATGTGGCAGAAATGTTGCAGTAAAAATAAAATGTGTGTAAAAACTGAAAATCATAAATGAATAATATTTGGATGCACTGGCAACATAAACCCTCTTTCATCAAACTTTACTGGATTTATTGAACGTAAGCTTATTACCTATAAATCAACAGATACTGAGCTGTTCAAGCTTTTCAAATGGACAAAAACTTTAGAACGAAGATCTGATGATTGAGGGTCAGCTTGTAAAAAGCTTTTTGCGCAGCATTTTTTAATGAATGCTCCTTTAGATGGTGAAACTGAAAGGTGGGTAACCATTTAATTGAACAACCAGCTCCTGAAATCCAGATTAAATCTTCTCAAACACATTACCCCCTTTCAGTTGGAATTATTGTGCTTGAAAAATCCACAAGGACCATTTAAATGAACTTAAAAGATCTTATCTTGTGTTTTTTTGTTCTCATTGCTGCAGGAAGCATCAGTAAAATCAGCTCAGACCCCATGAAGGCCATGAACGATGCTGTGGACGAATCCTCAAACTTCATCTCGTCCATATTTCATTTTGCTGCCAGTCTGATTGCTCCTGAGGAGGAAGACGGTAACAAACACACAAAATGTGTTTTAAATGAGTCTGAAAAGCTCTAATTTATCACGTAAGTGTTGGAATTACAGCAAATTCCTGTTCAGTCATTTATTTTTCTCATCMTCTCCAGGAAATCTTTACGCCGTGAGGAAAAAAGGTTTGTACTGCTTTTTGTTGCACTTTGTTACAACAAAAGAAAACTTAACGGTAATAAAAAAAATTGATACAGCCAAAAAACTAACAAACTGTTGGATTTGAACCTCTTTAAAATTTATGAATCATCTCTAAGATTCAACATGGTTGGAGGAGGAGGAGGAAGACGAGGGGGACAGAGGTATTTATTCTGTGTTTCAGGGAGTGAAGACCTTTATCCCATAACGCTCCACTAACATCCAACAGAATATTTCGTTTTATTTATCCTTTATTTTCTGCTGTTTGAGGACCGGACCTCCTTCTTCTTAACTTTTCAGCTTCATGGAGGAAGTTCTCAGTTCCAGAGAGGATTTATAATCCTACCAGTTTAGCTCTGGGTCTTACTTGAGGTCTCCTCAGGAGGCGTGTCTGAAAACTCTAAAGGGAGGCGTCCAATCAGATACCAGAACCACCTCATGGGACTCCATTCCATGTGGAGGAGCAGCAGYCACCCGCTTCGGATGTTATCATCCATGAAATGGATGTTATTAGGCGTTATCAGTCCCCTAGAATGGCTTCAGAATGTCCAGTCTGTGCCGGTTAGCAGGTTCCCCGTCCCACAGAATGGCTTCAGATTATCAGCTGGTTAGTATGAGGCATAAAAAAACTGGTTAATGTGAGGCATAAAACCACTATCTGGTTAATATGAGGCTTAAAGCCACCAAGGTCAACTTTAGAGCAAATGACATGGTTAGCGCTAAAGACACCGCCCTCCAACGGTTGTATATTGTGGCCTTCCAATAGGGCAATGGGTAGTGTCGGACCAGAGAGCGGGAGACCAGGGTTTGAGACAAACATGGACACGAAATTTTTTTACACTTTCTTTTGGTTATTTACACATTCATTGTCATTGCTATATTAACCCACTAGGGGGCACTGTCGGGACAGTCTGAAGCCTAGAAGGCACAGTAGGGACCCTCTGAAGCCTAGAAGGCACAGTAGGGACCCTCTGAAGCCATTGTATGGGACTGATAACACCTAATAACGTCCATTTCATGGACTGATAACAACAGAATCCCCTGCAGCAGCTCTACTTCATGCAAGCTCCTCCCGGATGATGGAGCTCCTCAGACTCTCTGAGCCGGGCCTCCCGATGAAGACTCCCCTCAGACCTGAAGGCAGCATTGCACCTCTTTCAGAACCAGCTCAACMTTTAAAGAGCCGACACTTTCTTTTCACACAAGACCCAACCCMGTCCTGACTTCTGCTCATGAACATCACAACCAGGACCAGAGACAAGGAGTCCACGATGAGAACCAGCTCGGAACAGGCTCAGATTACTTCTCCAGACGTGGACTTGGTCCTCTGCTCTGTGAGGTGAAGATCTGGTCCAAGACCCGAATGAACACAAAACTGTTCCTTCTGAAGCTCCAGATATTAGACTAAAACATCTAACTTTACTGACACGGGTTATAGTTTATATTTTAACAATCTAGTCTAACTTTAATTCTCACTCGGTTTTAACAGATTTAATTAAGTGAACTTTTTTTCTTTTTTGTGCTAACTATGTTTTATCTCTTTATTGTGCAGGAGAATTCCTACCATCGAGAAGTAAAGGTTTGTTCTTCTGTCGTTGTTGGAGATATTTTTTATTTAAATGCCTGAAAAGCTTCAGAATATCTGAAATTTCAGAAACAACAAAAACAATAATAATGATAATAGTAATAATAATAAGAAATTGCAATTCCCGCGTGAATGCTTCATGCTGAAAACTTAAGCTGAAAGTTGCTGAAATTGAGCTGAAAATATTTAATAGCAAACATGTTAATATGAGTTAAATTTTAAAAGCAAAAAGAAATAAAAAAGCCAAATTTTACAGAAAAACAGTAAAAAGGAGAAAATGTATAACTGAAAGGCTAAAATTGCTCAATAAATCAGAAAACATCAGTAAGAAGCATAAGTAGCACAAATTTGCAGAAAAAAGCACAAATAGTAGAAAAAAGCCAAAGAATTGCAAAAAGCAGACAACAAAAAATGCTAAAATTAGCATAAAATAAGCTAAATGTAGCAACCTCAARCTGTAATTAGCACTGAAATAGTCAAAGTGTTGTATAAATATTTAATTAGCAGAAAAATATTGTATAAAAGTATAAAAAAGTGACAATTTGTTGTAAAATAGCTAAAACAGCTGAAATGTTCAGTAAAAAGGCTAAAAAGTTGCTGGAAATTCTTTAACCAGCATAAAGAGCAAGGTTGCAGAACTTAACAGAAAAGGTTATAATGCTACAAAAACTATATGTTTAATTTAAGCTAACAACATCAAGCTAAGCTGCAGCAAATAGCTGAAAATAGCTGAAGRCACCTGTAAGAAGCAGAATTAGYCCAAATTAGCAGAAAAAAGCACAAAAAAGTCGCGAAAATTAGCCCAAGGAAGTTAGAAAGAGCAGAACCAGAACAAAACGTGTGGTTCTGTAAAGATTTAGAAACATTTTAAAGGATTTTAAGGATGTTGAAAACAGCTCCATTCATTTTCAATGGCAAAAAAAAGTGGCTAAAAAGTGAAATATCTGAAAAAGTAAAAACAGCTGAAATACCAAAAGTCATAGCAGGATTGTCATAAACGAGCCGAACGTTTTGATGCATGAATTGTTGAAATAGCACAAAAATTGCGGAACAAGTTAGAGGCTGAAAAACGTACGGAGGAAAAAAACGACCTTAATAGTGTGAAAGTTATGAAACATTTATACAATCATTTTGGTATCTGCACTGAAAAAA